TCTGCCTACAAGAAAATCTGTCACCAAAGTACACCAATATATATAGTCACAAATGTAAACATAAAGTCCGACTGTATTACATTATAATTAGTGATACATATGTAGAGTTTGAACATTTTATATATAGGGCGTCAAAAACACACACACACACACACACAAACAGTTCTTTCAGGACTACATAGAATGTTACTGTACAGATAAGATTATCTAGAGTTTGTATGTTTTATGGAAAACAGGTCTATACATAGATTGAAATACACAACTATTCATGAAGTATGATCTATAATAAATCAAACTGTAAAATTTAAAAATGTTCAGTATAACGTAATCACATACTGAAGAACGTTGATATCTGTTGACCATGACCTTCAGTGGCTCAACGAAAAGTCTGAAGGCTTATAATGTTAAAATATGGGTTTCGCTGCTTATGGTGGACACAGCAAAGATAACTCATTGTGTAACTTTCCGTTTAACAACAAACAAACGATTTAAACTGTTGGGCATGACAACCTACAATACTCTCTGGTGGCTCAATCGTCAACCACGTAAGAAACATCTGCCTACACATCATCCATAACCTCATTGTCTTACACTTTGGCCATTTAGTAACACGCTCTGGTGCCATTTTATTACTTTTGTTACAGTTACTTTTATATCTACTCCAAGGATTGTCCGTATCCGGAAAAAAAATATCGTTAAGACACTCGCCCGAGGTACATGAACACGTGAGCCACGTTTGGTCCCTCTAGCATGTGAGTGAGTGTATGAACACACTTCGTAATAAGGTATCCCCTGGATCCCTAGGGTGAGGGGCAGTAACAGAAATACCTATGCCAGATTCGGGTTGAGCGACTCTGAAAGCCTACTCCTTAACCTCCATCATGACTGGGTGACTTTGTAGGGAGACTATGCCATATAAATTTCCCTTAGTCCGCTTGCCAAGTTTGGTCCTGGGTAGCTCTAAAACCGTTGAAGGAATTCGTGGACAAACACACATCACGAAGTTAATGTAAGAGCTAGCGAGAACAACAGTTTTTCACACACTTTCTTGTGTTTTGTAAATAGGCTATCTATCTATCGATCTGTTTGTCTGTGGAGCAAGAGTGCCCCAGTGGTCAGCGTACTCGTACTGTGAATTCGAGCTGTGGATGCGATAACTTTTCTCACTATTTGATCAAAGAAGAGAGTAACCCAAGAGTTGGTAGTGGTTGCTGTGTCAGTTCGAAATTACTGACGGCTATACACAGATAGTTATAAAATAAACACAGACTAACAATTTTAGAAAATCCAATATTATACTTTGGTTCGTTTTGATGTGTGTGGGGGGAGGGGAGGGTAAAGAATGATAAGTGAGCATTAAATAAAAAGCACTGTTCCTAATTATTTATTAATTTACTTTTTATTGTAAATATGTTGACATTAAATTTACGAATGCGTGATGAAATTAAGACACCATACGTGTTTAGAAATAATAATGAAAACTACATCCTACAGGCATCGCATGTGTCTGAATCTCTGTCACAATCCTGCCTTTTAAATGAAAAAAAGCTGATCTGTCTATTAAATTTACTTCCCAAGCTCTGAAGATGTAATAAATTCATATCGTCCACGTGTTCCTAGAGGGATAAAGAGACTGTCTCAACGGTTGTACGTGTACGTGTTTCATAGTTTCTTAAACATACAGATAGGGAAATGTTATAAGTATTTCGATTTTTTTTGTAAGTATTGTGGGCAACAATAACTGTATCTTCCCTATGCTAACATTATAGATACAACCACCATGCAAGTAAATTGTCTATAACAGGCTTCTTTTGTATCGTTTTACCCATTTTTGAAAGCGTTTCGTTTTTTGTTTTTTTTTTCATACACGAGTGAATGCAGAATAGTATTATATTCATGTGTTCGTATTTTACATTCGAGAGTAGAAACTATGAATATAAATACACGTAACGTTGGACAAGATGTGTGAGGTCTTTAATATACAGAAATTATTCTGGTTTTCTAAAAATATAAAAAATGATACTTTATGTTATTAAAACCTTACCAAAGATGTTGAGTAACAGCTTTAAACATTACTTTAAGTTCTTGTATTTGTGTATTGTTTTATAAATACAAGGAATTAATTCATTGGTTTCCTTTCGAATGGCGATAGTATGTAGAACCACAAACCAGAGTGTAAGTTAAATCATCCAATAATTTGTTTTTCCACATGTTATTTTCAAAGTTGACTGAAAGTAGATGCAATACTGTTAAAAAGGTGTTTTTTTTACACAAATTAGTGTTTGCGTGGAAATATATTCCACTACAACACATTAAAAACAATTCTAAGAGGTGCTATAATCATAGATACCGAAAAAAGGTGAAGAACATTAATAAGTTATTTCCTCATATCTTGCTCCAATTTCATTTGTTTCTCTTTCATCTTCATTCAGCGCACGTGAAAACATACCGGTAAACGATATTAAAATACAATGAAAGCACACTGATTTATTTTTACTTATGAAGTCTGTTTTTAGACAAAAGAAGCTTTTTCTATGAATCTTTATCTTAAAGTACGTAATGTTGAATAACATCTTAATGAAACAATAAGAATAATTAATCTTTACTGGAATTGAAAATCATGCACGTGCTTTGTAGCTTTGTTCCATGAATGTTTTTTTATAATTACATTTAAAGTTACGTTTAAAAGGCAGTGTTTGTTTGTGCGAAAACGGAAACCATTTTATAATTCTTCTGTCCAAATTTTTTTTTTTCCGAGTATAGAAACTTTTCAACTGAATTATTTTTAAAAGGTATATATTATTTTTACAATTTTAATTCACTGATGTACAAACGTTGAAATACATTATAGTCAAACGATTCTCACCACGTCGTTCCCTGTCGACACGTCTCGTCAAACACTCTCTGACGATCTTTCATCGCTATAATAACCCTGCAGCATTAATTGTAGTGTAAAGAGTTCCATCGTAAGGCTGTCATGTCTAAAACGCACCTCTCCTCTCTGTCTATTTTCTATAAAGATCCCCATTGACTGAGCAGTAAGTTCTGAGGGCTTATTATAATAAAAATTGGATTTCCACACTTGCGGTAGGCTGAACACAGATAGTCCTTTGTCTAACTTTGTGTTTTACAACAAACAAACAAGTTTTATATAAGTAATCTATTGCACGAGAACAACGATTTCCCAGCACACTTTTCAACAAGCAAATCACAAATAATTCCATGGGCGCTGCATCTGGCGACTTCAGAGGTATGTCTTCGTGTGGAAGTTCTAAGTCTCTGAACACAATGTTTTGAAAGCGTATGAATATTTTGAAAAATCATACCCGTCCCAAAAGTAATCAGTTTTCTATGGAATCGCACACTGCCTAAATAACGCAAAATAAGATACAGTTCTGATAGATGCCGTTGAATTGTGACTTTACATCGGCTGTGGTGATCTAATGAATTGCTGATTTGCATATTCAAATTTATTTTAATATGACGTACTCTAGCCTTTGTAGAAACAAAAGGGTTTTTACTGTTGTTACTTTTGAATGTATAAATGGAATTTCTAAGTAGAAAATTACCTAACTAGAAATTTTATTTGTTTTTTTTAGTCTGTTGATCTCTTGATTTTTCCACTACTTTTCGAATAAAGTAGATGCAGATTTTATGATGATAAATAAATATATATATTTTTTTTAAGTCTCTGGAAGCTACCAGGCGGATGATGGCGTTATGCGAGGAGGTAAGCGTTTTTCTTGTTCTTGTTTTTACATACTCTGTTATTTTAATTAAATGATATTTCCAAATTGATGCTACTATGTTTTATACACGACTGGCTACAGAATGAGTAGAACACTAAACTCAAATGTAAATTTTTAAAGAAGTTTCATTCCAGCCCGACGACGTGAATGCTTACCTTGTATTAGTTTCAAATATTTAAGTACGGAGATTAAATTCATGAAATCGATTAAAGAATTTCATTTTCTTTTTTTCTTCAAGAAGAAAATAATATTTGAAATAACATAAGTAACAGACTTTTGCCTCGAACCAATTTATTTACATATAGATAAAGAAAAAAACATCAATAGAAAACCAAATTCAACGATGTATCTTTTATTCAACCTATCAAAATCCAAGATCTTAAAACTGCTCTTAGCCCTCTATTTTATCTCTAACTATTTTTGAAAGACAGTTATTTATTAGAAAATATCATATCATTGCTATACGAATGCTATATTCTTTTCTTAATATGCTTTCACTAGCTGTACTAGTTGGATTGTTAATATACCTAGTTGTATTATTTTTCATTTTTTTATTATACTTTTACTTATAGTTTTATTATAGATATTGTTTTGCATTGTTGGCTTGGTATGTGGATTTAGAACTAACGTAAATCTCCAAGGCTGGACGAATCTCGTGTGATATTACTGGGTTTACGGTCGAAAAGATCGTTAAAAGTGAGGCTACCCAACTAATGAAAGAATACATTCTAATCTTTACACCCCCCAGTGGCACATTGTAAGCTTACAAATTTGCCATAGTAAAATCCTGGATTCTACTGCCGCGCCGCAGACAAAGGAGATAGTTCACTGTGGCTTTGCTTTAAAAAATCTAATATTCGTTAGTAACAACGTTAGAAAGGCATAATTAGTTAGTTCTACTCGTTATTGGGTTGATTTTTAGTTTTGATCTAAGCATGTAGTTTGCTTTGATCTGAAGTTAACCTGAAGAAATACTTACTTTATTCGACACTTCTTTAGGGCTTTCAATATATGATATATATAAATATATATACATATGTATCTATATATATATTTACATTATATTTCCAAAAGTATTGGACAGCACATTCCAAAGGTTATTGGCCTGTTCCTATTGAATTTGCATATAAATCCCGTTTCGCATTGCTGCATAGAGCTTACGAATGCCAGCAACTGCCACAGTCCTGTGCCATAAGATAAAAGCTCATTAACCTTCCAAGATAACTGGTTATGCGATTCGTTAGACTAAAAATCAAACCGTCCGCCCCAAATTAACCTCTCCTCGTCTTGTGGAATATAACTACGCGTCGTTTATTCGGACTTTAATGACAGTTTAATACTGCAGTTCATCACATTCAATGTGGGTAAAGATATCGATGTTGCTGGACTTCCCAGGTGGATTAGGTGGTGAAAAACAATGAAAACCATTATATGAAGTGATCTCACCATCTTCTGTCGCAAATACCTTTAAAGTCGTAAAAAAATAAACAAGCGATCATTATCATATACTCTATGTGGTTTATGACTGACGTATAATCGAGTAATTTACATTTTTATGTCTGGATGTCGTTGGACACTAATTGAATCAGATAGTATTTATGAATTTATTGCGTGCTAATTCTCCTAATGTGTACTTTCATGGCATGATGACACATCGCCCAGTATTAAACAAATTTCAAGAAAGTTCCATTTTCACGTTAGAATAGTTCCACATGTCTTTCATGAAGAGCAATGGTTTGGGTTTCATTAACTGTAATGTAGGTAATAAGTTTCAAGCACAGCTTACCCACTTCTTTAATTAGGCACGAATTATCCGTATCAATTGTTTGGCTTATATTCAGTTGACATTCTAAATCTTTCCAGTGTTGAAATTCTTCTGTGTAATCTTCTGATTTTCATATTGACTGCTCAGCAATTCAAATTAGGGACTGTTATGCGTGAACTCTATGGGCCTCTAATTATATAGGGCTGTTAGGATTGAAAGATTTCAAATTCTTTCCCAACAGAGAAAACAGACATCGTAAGTGTTTTTATGCAAAAAGAAAGACATTAATAGAGTGTTTTTTATAGAAGAAGAAACTCTATTATACAATGTAAGATTGTTGTTTTACACATGAAGACACACTGTAGACGTTCTTCAATACAGGAAGAAACACTGAAGGTGTATTGTTTGACACAGGAAGAAACAGTAGGTGTGTTCTTCAACACAGGGGGAAACAGTTTAAAGTTGTTTTACACAGAAAGAAACACCGAAAGTGTATTGTTTGACACAGGAAAAAGCCCTGTAAAACTGTTGTTTGACACAGAAAGAAATACTATAATGTGTTGTTTAATACAAAAAGAAACACTGCAGAAGTTTCGGGTATATTTGACGAGACATTGGTTTCCAGAACGTTATGATGCAATTAAATCTATCTTTGAGTTTTTTGTAATGATAGTTTGCATTAATTTCTAATATTTAACACAAAACACTGAAAGCCATGCAAAGAAAAATATTTCATGAATTCCCGTCTATTTCTGTTTCAAATTGCATTAGGTCAATATGATCCGAAACGTAACATGCGAGTTAACACCAGAAGAAATAGTGTAAGCTGTTGTTTAACACAGGAATAAATATGTCAGAGTGTTATTAAGACTAGAAGAATCAGGTCAGAGTGTTATTAAGACAGGAAGAAACATCGAGAGTGTTGTTTAATATAAATTTAAATAAAATTGGCTTTCATTGATTAAAACAAGCTAATTTACTGATAGAAACATTTTAAAAATTACAAAAGATGATTTGTTTCAATTGTGGAAAGTGAATCAATAAACAGTCGGTCCGCTGTATAGTATCGACTTATGAATTAGGCGCAATGCCATAATATTATTGATACACCCAAGTTAAGTTAGGTTACTATATAGTTTATTAAACAGGACTCAGAAACCCTATAAATCTTGTCTCTTCACAAGTTGTAGCGCCACAAAAGACATTCTGGGCTACAGAGTTTCGAAAATTCTCATCTATTTTGTATGCTGGTTTGGTAAAAGATCGTGTAAATTATTGACATTTCAATGTAATCAATGTTTAAAGTGGTTGATAATGAATCGTTTTTAAATAACAAAAAAAGAAAACAACAACTTTTTTGTTTTGTTGGAATAATTGTGTATCGGTAGTTCTTACCAATGATTCTGTAATGGAATATCTTGTAGTGAGTTTAGTTGGATCTTTTGGGACTTCATTATTGCCGGTTATTTAAGGAAACGCACACATGCAATATTGTAAATAAAACATAGAGCCAATGATTGTGAGGTAACTAGTGGCCACATAATCCAAAGCTTACACGTGTCACCTGTAATGCTATAGTCTATACCTATGAGGGTGTTGGACACTGTTTTGAGTCCAATATCTTGTTCATTTTAAGTTTAAAAGTTAAGATCCTGAGAGGAGTGGATGAGGTATAGTTTTATGAATATCCAGATGTAGATATACACCTTTTAAAAAGGTTCAGTCTCTTTTTCTTTTTTCACGGAGTATTGTATTTTTACAAGGGTATATTGAAAAACAGAAAAATCAATGATATTTTATATGATGCTTATTATTTTTGCCAGCAATATGTGCATAGACTGAAAAGAACAGTGGTGGGAAAAATTTGAAGAGAAACAATCTCGTTTTATGAATAAGACAGCGAGCGACCCTTGGCATTATTACTGTAGTGATTTCTTCCACCGCTGCTTCCACACATCATTATGTTATAAGAACTAAATACTTTCTTTTAAATTACGCGTTAAATATCTTTAAAATCTCGTGTTGCACAATCCATGTGGTTAATTAAATCCAGAAATGTTGTACATTACATTCGAAAGAGTTATATCTCGTTTGCATGAAACAATTACGGTATCTAATGTATGTTCGAAAGTTCGTGCTCTCAAAAACAGGACTATTGTACTCAGTCTGAACTCTATAGAATGACCAAAAGTAACAGAAGAGACAAACTATGGAGCTACTTAAAGCAACATATAGAAATGTAGTTTTTAAACTCATGCTCTCACTGTCGTGATACTGGATATCACGTTCACAATGCACTAGTGCCCATGCTCACATGTAATATATCTTACTTTAAGTTCATGATACACTAATACCCATTCTCACATGTAATATATCTTGCTTTAAGTTCACAATACATAGTACCCACAGTGAACTTAAAGTACTATGACATTATTCATGTGACAAGGGTACTGTGTCACAGTGAACTTAAAGTACTATGACATTATTCATGTGACAAGGGTACTGTGTCACAGTGAACTTAAAGTACTATGATATCATTCATGTGAGCATGACACAGTACCCTTGTCACATGAATAATGTCATAAGTTTATAATGTAAGAGTTTTGAAGCTGTCAGTCATTACATATGGTATATTTGATTGTTTAAACTTAAATTATATACTTATTTTTTTCATTTTAGTTAATTTGTTTATTTTTTTATTTTAATAGCAGTGTAGGTTTCATTCTTTAGAAATAAGATTCAAATTATTATCTTCTGAAGCATTAATTAGATGGTTCAAAATTCAATTTATGTTGTTTTAACCTAATAGTATGTTTCCTGTGATGTGCTTTATCATTTAATGAAAACCAATTTTTAATGTACACTTTTAGAGCAAAGATGCAGGCATTCGCACTTTGGTGGCGCAGGATGAGCAAGGAGGTAAAAAAGCGAGGAAACTATGAGGTTCTTGTGTTATAAAACTGGAAATACATTCTTTTTCTTCAACTCCGTTGTATCTGTCTTTCTGTTAATTGCCCGATCTAAAACAGCTTATCTCTCTCTCTTTTTTGTTTTTTGCCATGTTAACAACTTGCATTTTGAGCGTTGTCCTATAGAATTACTTTTCTTGCTCTGATACAAAAATATGGTTTTTTTCTTTCTTGTCTATCATTTCTATTGTTAGAGTAAAGAGGCAGGGATTCGAACTCTCGTGGCTTTAGATGACCAGGGAGGTAAGATAACACCCCTATATAAATGTGTATTTTTCTCTTTAAGAGTACTTATCATGTAAATTAGATGTTTGATGTAGAATAATAATTAACAATTAAAACTGGCATTATCTAATATAGAGTGAGAAAAGAAGTAATTAATGTTTAAATTTGTATCTGTATTAAGAATCTAATTAAATTTTAATACAGAGTTCCAGTTCTGTCAAAATTAAAATAACTAAGACCAATAAAGAACTTATGATGACATAATCTGTAAAACTAGTAAAAACTAATATAAAAGAAAACTTTATACGTTTGTTGTTTTTATAAATATTTTATGTCATATAATTAGAAATATGGTATAATTAATAAATACATGTGATTAGAGTTTTATCCTGTTCAATCTGATTTTAAAATTTTAAACTTCGTTTTAAACTCCACTAACTTGTCACAGAATATTAGTAAAGCACATATTTGAACATATAATTACAAATATGGTACTTTATCAAACATTACACGTGCTGTTCCTTTAAAATGTACAAATAGTTCATTCATCATTCGCTCAGCTAGTTACACATCAATTAGAAAAAAAAAGTTCCAAAATAACCTATCGCACTTGTTCCAAATATATCTGCGTTTTTCTTGTAACAAAAAAGCCTTTTTTCAGTGTTATCGTATTATGATAGAATTAGTTAGGTTTAGAAATATATCCCGCATTAAATTTAAAAAAAATGCCTAATGCTTTTTATCTCGATTTTTCGATTTAACAATACAATTAAAACTTATAGAATACTACTATTACAATAAAACGTAATGTAATAAGATAAAACGTATTGTTACCACCTGTTTCAGTAATATATTGTGAAGATAACCATTTTAGCTGGACCAAGGTTAATTATCAATTTAAATAAATGCTGAGCATGTCCGTATGGACGATTTTGAGTGCATGTTGCAAGAAGAGAAGTTAAGTATTAAGGATAAATCTGTATAATAGAATGCTCTATGTATTTTTATATGGCTAAATTGTTTAATATATTATGTATCAATTATGCTCCTTGTCGGTTGGGAAAAATATTCATTGTCCAAATTATTTTTTATGAAACTAGGTGTTAATGAAAGCTTTAAACTTTTTCTTATAATTACTTATATGGTACAAGTATTATTATATAGGGTGTGACTTGAAAGGTTGCCGGCGGAGGGATATTTTTAACAATCAGAGTGACATACGCGTATACATGTGACTTGTTTGTTACTCATTCAAGATTTAATATAAGGAATATATATATATTCCTCGAATATAAAAATTGTTTTTTATAAATAAACTGCAGATGCAATTATTTACAGTATATCATAATGCATTACCCCTATATAATATATATCAAATAATATTTTATAATTTAGTTTTTAATGTAGAACAATATTTAAAACAGAATCTAAGATGTATGTACTTCCTAAACTCCTACTGACTGACTGACTAACGTTATTCTGGACTTAAATTTCAAAGAAACAGTACAAAAGTAACAAAAGAAGGCCCCCCAAACCATAGTTTACGTAAATAAGTGAATTGAGTAGAACCTAGCTATGGTTGTAAAAGGCTTGGATTTGTAAAAAACTAGAATAGATATAGATTACATATCGAAATAATTATTTTCTTCATCATCAGTGTTTAAAGTATTTTTTGTGATAGGTGTCGCATATCAATACCGATGTATAAAAACAAAGTTTTAAAGTGTTTAATTGACACGTGAATTTTTAAATACCTTGTCACCTTACTATCTAGAACAACTGGATCGTATCGAAGAAGACATGGACAAGATCAATGCAGACATGAAAGAAGCTGAAAAAAATTTGACAGGAATGGAGAAGTGTTGTGGTATCTGTGTATGTCCCTGCAACAAGTAAGTTTATAATTTCCCTGCAACGAGTAAGTGTTTAACGTCCGGTAACAATATTCGTGGAACAAGCGATTATACATTGTTCCTGCAACAAATACGTTTCACATTGTTATGGAACAAGTAAGTATACATTGTCCCTGCAACGAAAGTAAATACACAATGATACACAAAATTCGTAAAATAATTTATCATAAAGTATGTTTATAAAAACGATCTGCCTTGTTAAACATAATTATATATATATATATATATATACAAAAACAACGAGATATAGAGAAACTCAATTAAGCTTGGCTGTGTGACAACAAGGATCTTTTTTTTCGTCAACTAACAACAGTCTGTTTTAACCTGTAGAGTTTTTGTAGGTTTGTTCAAGATCTCTGTCTTTTCCGTTTGGTAATATGATTCAGTTTTGGTAGGGTTGTTCATGGTCTCTGTCTATTCAGTTTGGTAGCGTGATTCTAATTTTGAATTATCAAACGATTTGGGTGTTATATTTCTGAACTACAATAAAACTAGACTTGTTTTAGTCATGTAATAATTGTTTGATTGTGTTAGTACAAAGCTACACATAGGCTCTATTACTCTACATAGCTACATTAGCACATAGGCTATCTATGCTCTATTACTTCAAAAGAAATTCGTACAGCTTTGATGAAACTTTGTAGAATGGAAAGCAACTTCCTGTTGTAGAGACACAAGTGTAGAGAACGACGTTTCGAAAGTCTTCCGTCTTGTGTCTCTATAAAAGGCAGTACTTCCATTCTACAAAGTTTCATAATGAATACTCTGCCTAAACAATCTATCGTACAGTTTTATTGATGAGATCTATAATATTTAATAGCATAGGATTCTACACTTCACATATTATTTGCCTTGTGTTCTTCTAGAAAATGTTTTGCCTTAAGAGTTTTCACACAAAGCTGCACAAGGACTATTTGCGCATAGTCGTCTCTAGTTTTGAACTGGTAAAACAGAGAGAAGGCAGCAAATCAGCCGCACCACCGCCAACTTTTGAACTACTATCATCGAACAAAATAATGTCGTAATAGCATCAAGCATTGTCATATTGCCAGACAGTTAGGTATAAGCTAGGACACTGTCTCTAATATTATGAAAAGAAAGAGTGTAATCGGAAGATATGTCTCAAGAAGCAAACCATGTCGCCTGCGGAAGAATACAGCTTGAAATGACCGCCAAGCTGTTCCGGTTGTGCAGAAATAGCCAAGAGAAATATATCCTACGAGCTGAAATAGCGGGAAATCACAAACGTGCCCGTAACAAGAGCTCTGGTCAATCACCAATTGTTAAAGGTTGTTTATCGTGCAAGACGCCCATTAATAAAGCCCAAACTGATCCAAGGTCATCGCCAATTTCGTTTTCAGTGGGCAAAAGAACACCTAAGATGGTAGCCTGGAAACCGGAAACACGTGGCATTTAGTGATGAAGTTAAATTTGAAGCCTTACACCATGATGGGTATGTCAGAGTGTGAAGGCAAATCCATGAAGCCTAGAACGATGACTGCATCCAGCAAAAAGTGTAATCAGGAGATAATGGTTTGACAGTCTGTGGTGCCTTCCACTCTTGATGGAAAGCTGGATAAAAACCAGCACAGGCTCATATTAGAGGAAATCCTGACTCAGTTGGCTAGAAGAGCCCTTCTGGAAAATTTTGTTTGCCAAGATGACAACGTCAGACCACACAAAGCCCAAATGATCCACAGTTTTCTCTAAGAGTAGGAGGTGGAGCACATGGAGATATGAACCCAATAGAGAACCTTTGGGTAGAACTCACCCATTTCATTACTTCGTTAACCTAACAACGTATATGATCTTCACCAGGCTATTCTTGCTACATGGCGAGATATTCCAGCCTATATCCTGGTGTAGAGCATGCCACATCATGTAGGAGCTGTCTCTGAAGGCATACGAAGTACTGACCATTACTTCTACTGATTTGTGTTTGCAAGGATTAACCAAACATTAGTTTTATGTATATTATCTGGGTAATCACATAACTTTACCACAAAGCTTGATGAATCTTAATAATTCTGTTTTCCAATCTTAAACGTGAGAAATATTACACTTTGTGGTTTGAAAAAGTATTCCATATTAAATGTCAACCGTATATGTCTAAGTCTTAGGGGCTCTAATCTGACCGCTAAATTTATGTATTGCATAAGGTGCTGCTCGAGTTGAAAATATCAAAAGTACCAAAAAACCTTGTCGTTGTATTAAAACACTGTAAGTATATTTCCAGAAAGCAGTATTGCCAAACCTTGTGAGTTTAGTTTCTAATTATGATATATGTTTATCTCATACAGTGCTTTTTCTTGGAAATGCGTCACATAGCAGATTTATTGTTATTATAGACCGATTTGATCAGTGATAAAGCAACACTTGCTCAGACTGTCACACAAATGCAACAGATTTTCGGAGATAAAACCGCTTTTTAAATATAATTGGTGTTCAAGCAGTACGCATCAGTATGTTTAATCCCGGCAAATGATTTTAGAGGCAATGAGTAGTGGTATGTTATAAATGTTAAATATCGCATTGTAGTATCGTTTTTACAATACTATATGCTATGAAATTATAAAACAGCTGTAAAAGTCATGGAGGTTAACGTGCATGTACATAGTCACGGTCTTACTCTGCTTGTATATGGAGTACTGGTATAATAATTTACCTGAAGTTCACCCCTGTATATTTTATATTTATTGGTAGTAGCAATAAAACAGAAGAATTATTGTCGATGAGATATCGAACATGATAAGGATTAATGTCTCGCTTATAAATGATATAAGTATCAGGTTCACGAAAACCTTATGTTGTACCTCAGCCGACTTGATGGCCTCATCGGTAATGACGTATGTGCAACAGGCTGAGTGGTGACGTTCTATATTTTACTTACTAGAAATCCACATTTGGCTTATTTCGGATAATAGTGTAAATATACTCAAGTACTATCTGTATTAGCCATCTATAATTTTGAGTTGATAGACTAGAGAGTAGACAGCTAGTCAACAGCACCTAGCGCCAACTTTTGAGCTACTCTAATTCAATAGTAAGTTTTGACCGTCATCTTATAATGCCCCAAGTGCGGAGTGCAACTTTGCGACAATAGAGTGAGAATCTTGGACCTCCGGATTTACACTCCACTAACCTATAGTTCACGCTTAACCCTAGTAAAAAATACGTGGTTAAAGAGAATCGAGCTTATGCTCATTGAGATGTGATATTATCACCCTGTCGCTAGGGGTCTTCCAATGGTAAGGAGTCAAAGAGCATGTCATCACGTTTGTAGATGTGCATTCAAAATTTTAATGATCTACTATTTTATGAATGTATGCCGATACGTTTGGTATCACATTGTAGATTATAATTCTAATTTTAGTATTATACATTAATTAATTTTAAATTTACATGTAAATATTAAAATTCCTAAGTATATTCCTGTATTCAACATGGCATGTTGAATACAGCTTTGGTTCAAATTATTTGTGATGTTCAAGTACAAAGTCTATAGATTTGTACGAATTAGGAACTCAAATTACCGATATTGAAAAGCTGGAATATAAAATAAGAACATCCTATCTTTTCTATTTACTGAATCAAACACAGTGATCTCGCTCACCTCTTTCCATTTTTGGAAATACTTGCTTACGTATACCTACTTCTTTCTATGGTGTGAGAATAACCAATCGAAATCTCAGAATGTCCCCCTGGTAATTTTCTCTTGAATCGCTGAAGGAAGTGGTAAGTGAAAATGTTTTCTGAAAAACAATATTTGTTTTTACTCAAATACGGTTTAGTTACAGTGGAATTTTGCAACATTGATAGAGTAGTTTATAATATTTGGCTGCTTCAAAATGCCTATATATAACCAAAACAAAAATTTTTTGTTTTACACGTTCCACGTACGAAATTTGACAAGGCTTAGCAAATTACAGCAAGCATGGCAAACGAGTACAAAATTTGTACGTAGAAAAATCGTTGTTTTCTATATTTTTTTATTCACTGTTCTATGCTTTAAAAAATAACTAAATTTTATAACTTATTTGTAAATAGTAATAATATATATGCATATTTAATGTATTACAACCGAAATATGAGTAGTGACTGTATTTTACAAAGTACTGGTTCACTAGAACAAACCGAAGACAGGTCGTTTTGTAAAAGCCAGTTTTAGACTATTGGATACGGTACATTACTACACATGTGCCGCGTCATTGCAATTTCTGTAATGTTAGTTAGACACGGTTGGTAAAAGTAACAATTAAATGAAAATAAACAACACACACACACGTATATATATATATATATATATATATATAGAGAGAGAGATGTATAATTGTATAAGATTTAAGCTATTTAGACAAAACATTTGTGGTTTCTTATTATAATTTGTAGTCATTCTAGAATGAAAAAAGCATAATTTATATCGATTTTTTTGTTGCTGATTACGAAGTCGGTCAAATCGACCAAACCCATACAGAGATACAATAGTGAAAATAACAGATAAAATATAAAGTTATTTCTAAAACAACGTTTAAGAATTAATTGGAGACTATTAGGAGGTTATAAATATTTCGCATGTGCAATTTGACAACTTTCTGATGGATAATAGTATTTTTAATCTTAAAATCAAAATTACTTTGTATGTCGGATAGTCAACATTCAAAAAGAAAAATGCATGACCAAATTATTACTTAAAAAATCTTAAAATTTAATAAATAAATCTGACATTTTATTTACCAAACCTTGTAATGATTACTGATAACCTGCAAAATGTCGTGAAAATATGCAACCTATTTTAAAAGTTATAGTAATAAACTATAACAAGCACATAATGGTTACGAGGTCAGTCCCAGGGACCGAGACCGTAGTGAGAGAGTTTTAAATGTTGTTTTATAGTATACATTTTATTTGTCTATTAATTTTACAGTAACCGTAAAGTAACTATATGATTTTAACTTTCTAACCTAATTTGTTTGGCGGTAATCAACGTTTCGGGATATTTGATATAAAACTAGAAAGTCTCATAAGTAATTCTATAATAGTATTAAGAAATGCTAAGCCAAATAAGTGATTAATACACAAATAGCTGAAGTGTGTAGATTCTTCCGATAAATGTGTTGCGGTTTAAGTGTTTACTAATCAAACTATACGTGATTTTTATTCTGTTGGTCTTACTCAATAGCGAATACATCAGATTGGGATAATTTTGTATTATTCTTATTAATATAATTTGAAGAGAGTTAATAAAATGTTATTTATTATCTAAATTTTCGGAAATTGTTCTGCTTAGGCCACAAAATATAAATCTAGAAAGTATGTACGTTTAATCGAAAACGTCTTAGTTGAATTAAAACACAAATATATTTTCATTAGAAAATAAATAAATAACAGAGTTGTTTCTATTCAGATTACCTGATTTATTCCTAAACATTCACTTACAAAAAGAGATGAAAACTCGATGTTATGCGTTTACAATGGTTCAGAAGATTTCTTCTTCAAAGAGTAAAAGATGAATTATTTTTCTTTGTATTTTCTCGAGAAAGTTAACTGCTATATTCTACAGGTCCAAAGAGTTCAAGGAAGACCCAAGCACGTGGAAAGGTAATGAAGATGGGAAAATAGTGGGAAACCAGCCAGCAAGAGTTATGGACGACAGGAATGGGGCTGGACCAATGGGAGGCTACATTGCGAAGTACGTCTTCGATTTGGTACTTGTTTATTTAAAGTGTTCCTATCTGTGGTAATTCATTGTTGTGAATTATTTCTATCATAGATAGCTACCCCATTTGATGCAGATATTTTTAATTAACTTAGTTTTAAGAAATTCTATACGCAAATAAGTCATTTGAAAACGAAGATTGATTATTATATCGGCTTAGATCATCATACAGTAATTAAAACACATCTAAAATTCATCAACAAAGTAACCGAACTTTAACAAGAATAACATGTTTCTCAGCTGTTTTTATTTTAATACTATGATACTTAATAACTTGTGTTTAACTTCGTAGTTCCCTTTTTTAAAGTGAAAACAGTCTTTTGTCTTACGGTGGTCAAAGTCAGGTTCTTACTCCAGATGTCGTTGTAAAAGGTTGTTTGGTTTGGTTTGAATTTCGCGCAAAGCTACAAAAGGGCTATCCGCGCTAGTCGTCCCTAATTTAGCTGTGATAGACTAGAAGGAAGGCAGCTAGTCAACACCACCCACCGTCAATTTTTTGGCTACTCTTTTACTACGAATAGTAGAATTAACCGTCCCGTTATAATGCCCCTCGGCTGAAAGGACGAGAATGTTCGATGAAGAAAATTTGAATCCGCGACTCACAGATTGCGAGTTGAGCGCTCTAACCACAAGGCCATGTCAGGCCATGTTTTACTGGAATGCAAAGACATTTGTTACAATGTTCTCGTTTGATAATCTATTGAAAATGTTTAGCGGTGGTGGATAATTTTGTCAAGTGACGTCTTAGATAAAAGTGTTAGTAACTGTTTTATTTATCTATCTGTTATAACCATGTAAGTATCTGACCTAATAATACGACCCAGCACTATCGAAAATGTGTGAGGAAAATTCAGGGATCTTATGAATATTATTTTTCGAGTTTCTTTTGTTTACAAACGTTTGGTTTCATTTTCATTGTGAGAACTATCAAATGAGGGTTAAAAGGTTTTGGCACGCTTTTAACTTCTTAATCCCTCGTCGATTGTGGTTAGTTTCATAGCAATGATTACGCAATTTTGCTCAACACTGCAATTTTCATTTTAGCAAGGACGGCATGTTCAGTTTTAGACCAAATATCTTGATACACTTTTTACATAATTTCTACCGTACCATACGTCGATGTCGGCTTCCAAGAGTAATGATGCATAGTCCATGGAAACTGCATAGAGAGACATAACTATACGTACTAGAATAGTACAGCTGTGATTCCAGTTTCATCCGCAATTTTTCGCATGAAAGTAGTCGTTCATTATAAGTTCTGCCTTGCAGCTTGTCAATTTAAAATTCTGGTATTGGTAATAGTACCAAGAGATATTGACAGCTTCGTCATAATGGTTCCTTGAGTCGGAAGGTTCTCTTTCGCAACAACAGTCTTCATTATGTGGAGACTGTCCCAAAATTTCTGCTGTGTTAGTTTTTTTTTTTTGCTTTTATGGAGAATATAGAATACTTCCTTCTCTAAATGGTTGTATTTTTTTTTTTGGCCTTAGACCATTTAACAATCTTTTCAACCAATGCCTTTCCTCTGAAAGGACCGTAACAAATACCTCTAGCAAAATTTACTGAGGCAGCAATGAACGTCAAACATACATAGACGTGAAACATGTCTAACGTGGTGTCACGGCTTCCATCAGAGACGACATGACAGTGTATTAACAAATGCATATTGTTCTTATACAGTGTGATTATCCCTTAGTATTTACGAGAGACAGTTTTTTATTACTGTAATGACAAATCGAGGTGAAATACATCCAAATTTTGAATCTCACAATGCAAATTAAGTTTGGGAAAAGATCGATACTAATTGCCCGCATTGTAAAAATTCTTATTTAAAGACGTGTTCCAGTTTGTTTTTCATTCCTATATTGTTATTGTTTGTCGGTTTTCATCAACTTTATTCCATACGTTTGGAACAATGAACAAAAATCTAATGACAAAGGATATATTTCTAACAATTGATAGTGAGAAAAACCCATGAAGAATTAAGAAACAAAGTTAGACTTCGAAGGCAACATTCTATTATGTTCTACCTACATCGTGTCTTTAGAAGACAAGTTGGTTAAATAAATAAACGAGAAATCGTTAACTTCACCTTATCAACAGAGAACAGACGAACTTTCATGGTAGCAAGTGTAATATAAATGTTTCTGAACCTGCAAACTGTGTCAGTAGATAGCATGAAACCCCTTTGTTTTCATAGAGAATGAATTGATTAGAGCAGTTGATCTCAAACCTCTTTTGCGTTTGTTTCTATTAGTTGCACACATGATTACAATTTGGTTCGTGTTAGTTTCCATTTTGAGTTCATACGTAAACATTTCTCGTCAAAACTGCGTTTATGGTACCTGAACTTTTTTTTATGTATAAATAAAGCACTTTCATTATGTAAATTCATTTTCTGCTGTTGCATTTATTAACTACTAGTTTTTCTCTAAAGCTTCGTGTCTCAATAAGAGCGCTGATAGAGACGGTAGCATGCTACGTTGATTACTGCCAAACTATCACGCACTTTATTACATGTAGTTGCGTAATGAAATAGTACCCTAAACTTCTTGTGCTCTTTGTTGGTTGAGTAAAATGTTTCGTTTGACTGTAGCGTATGTGAGTAGTGACTGGTCACAACTGTACAGTTTTACGTGCCTTATATTAAAAATATACCTTATTTTGTTGTTAAGATCACAGGTCCTAACATTAAAAGAGAGAAAAGGAACTTCGTGTTTGTTATCGTTGCAGTAAGATATTTTAGTATTATACTAGATGAAGAGAAAAACTTGTTTTGTTGTTATACGAGAGAGACAGAGAAAGCACTAAGCTTGTGTTATTCTTTCAGTAAAAAAAAGAGAGAATAGTGTTATTCGAGAGATAGAAAACACTCATTTTTTGTAATGTTACAGTAAGATATCCCGATATTATAAAAAAGAAGGAACTGTTATTGTTATGGTAAGATGTCATGATGTTAAACAAGAAAGGATACTAACTTGTGTTATTATTACGATACAATATTCTGATACTACATTAAAAAGGAATATAGCTTCTTGTTATTGTCATCGTTAGACGTAGTTAAGCTTATGTTGTTGTTGTTAAAGTAATACGTAATATATAATAGAGAAAGCTGAGCAGGAGTTATTATTACTAACATAAAACAATCACGCTTCGCTGCGGGTTTCGAAGTCCCCTCATAATTCATAAAGGGCTACGTGTACCGATCGAATTCTTCCATTATATCCAGTTACTTCTATAGCCATCCCCCAAAGAGTGTCCGTACCCGAAAAAAAACCCGTTACGACACATACCCGTGTTACCTAAGCAAGTGTGCCACATTTATTAGGGATATGAACACAGTTTCAAACATAGCACCCTCGGGATCACATAGGGGAGTTGGGAACACAAAATCTGACGCTAGATTTGAGTTCAGCGACCCTGAAAACCTGTTTCCTAACTCTATTATGCCTGGGTGATCTTTTGGCCGCATGCTAACCCGACTTGGTACCACCTTGGTAAGGGGGTTACACCATATAGATAGGAAAATCCCCGGATAATCACGAGTCCGCCTGCCAAGTTTGATCCTGCTAGATCCAAAACTTCGGGGCGAGTTCTTAAACAAACAACCAAATTACACACAATGTGCTTGGGACTGTAAACTGATACATTATATAATATTAGGTCGTCAAGAAATTAATTAATTT